GAAAAGGAGAAACAGAGAAATTACAAACAGAAGGACCCAATTAAAGGGTATACCTGAATCCGGTGGCTACAGTTCAGATCTAAAATATCCCCCAATCCTCTCGTGTGTTTAGAAATGGGACATTCCAAGTGAGATTGGATTGTGGGGTGCCATACTCCTCAGTGGGTTGGTCCATTGATTATTTCATAGCTGAAAGTGGTACGAAGAAGGGAAGCCTCGTCAGAGGGGTGGGTCACTGGGGCTTCTCCTCGGAGAGTGTATCTCACTCTGGCTCTTCTTGTTTTCTCAGTTTCCAGTGACTATGAAGGGAACAGTTTCCCTTTGCCTGGCCCTTCTGCCATTATGTTTCTGGCCTTGGAGCCAGCCATCATCTATGGACTGGAACCTCTGCAACGGGAACAAAAACAAACTTCTCCTCCTTTACGTAGCAAGTGCTTTGTCCCAGAGATGAGGAAGGCACTAATACATTAACCATTTCAATAAGTGCTTTAAACATTTATGTTAAAGGACAGAGGTTGTCAGTTTAGATTTTTTTTAAAACAACGCTACTATGTCCCATCTATAGAAAACTCACTTTAAATATAACAATGTAGATTAAAAGTAAAAGGATAAAAAGATGTGCCATGAAACATTAACTTTTTAAAAAAGTCAGAATGGCTATATTAATAGACTCCAGAAGAAGGGATATTATATTGAGGAATTTTATAGAATGATAAAGGGATGGATTAAATCCACAGGCATAATGGTCTTAAATGTGTGTATACCCCATAGCAGAAGTTTAAAATGCTTGAAGCAAAATACTGATAGAAGTGGGAGCGGGGATGGACAAATCCAATTATACCTGGAGACTTTTAACACTCATCCATCACTAACTGATAGAGAAGTAGGGAGAAAATAAACGATACAGAAGACCTGAACAACACTATCAACCAGCTTGATCTGACTGACATTTGTAGAAGAGCATTCTACCACCAGAAGCAGAGTGTTTGTTCTGTTTAAATTGCTCCAATACAGAACGTATTCTGGGTCATAGGACAAACTTTATCAAATTTAAAATCCAAATAATATCAAAGCATTTTCTCTGTAATAGAATTAAGCTAAAAATGACCAGCAGGGAGATGCAGTAATCTTCCCTTATCCAAGGGGATACATTCAAGACCTCCCCGCTCCAGTGGGTGCTTGAAGCCTTGGATAATACCAAGCCCTGCATATAGCGTTTTGCCTATATACCTACACCTATAGTAATGTTTAATTAGTAAATTAAGCACAGTAAAGAGACTAATGATAACTAAGTATATACCTACACCTATAGTAATGTTTAATTAGTAAATTAAGCACAGTAAAGAGACTAATGATAAAGAGACTAATGATAAGATAGAATAATTATAACAACATACAACAATAAAAATTATATAAATATGCTCTCCCGCTTAGAATATCTTATTTTCCTGAGGGCATGGTGGCATATATCTATAATCTCAGCACTTGGCAGGCTGAGGCAGGAGAATCACCGTGAGTTCAAGGCCACCCTGGGCTCCATAGTGAGTTCAAGGACAGCCTGAACTACACAATGAGACCGTCTCAAAAAATAAAACAAAAACATCTGTATGCTGACATAGGGATGAATCACATCTGGGTGAATGAATCAGGACATGTTTAAGTGCCCTTAATCCAATCACCTTCCAAAGGGCCCCCATGACTGTATGAGGTGTTAGGAGGACATGTAGATAGAAACCATAAGGGGGCTATAGTTGACTTCCTGTTAGGAGGTGGGGCCTGGTCAGGGGAGGCGGGTTGCCGGGAATGTGAACTGAAAGGATTTATTTCCCTCTCCAGGTCCTCTCCCCTTCTCTCTCTGCTTCCCGACCACCATGATGTGAGCAACTCTCCCTCTACCAGACCCTCCCACTGTCCCTTCCTGCCTCATAGCTGGCCAACCATGGACTGAAACCTTCCAGAAACATAACCTAAAATAGACCGCTCTCCTAAATTGTGTCAGGTATTGGGTCTCAGCAACAAAGAAAGTGGTCAAGACACCTCTCTACGCCTCAGTTTCTCATCTGTACCATGAGGATGGTCTCAGTTCCCACAGGCCAGGTCCTTGACTTGGACAGAGCCTGCCTGGGCGATGGCTGGCATGGAGCTGAACACTCGGCTTCTGAGCTGCTGAGACCCTGGTGGGAAGTGGGGGTCTCTCTCACATGCAGCAGGACTTGGAGGGGGAACCTCTGCATTCCAAGGAGTAGGACTCCCATCTCCAGGGCTGCAGAGGGCTGGGTAGGCACAGAACACGTCCTTTGAAGAAACTTTGATCAGTAGCAATGACAGGGTGGCTTTTGTTCTCTTTGAAGTAGCAGAGAGATCAATCTTCCTTTTTATCTCAGCCTCTCTGCACAGCTGCATCGTGTGCTGCTGCAGCCACTGCTTTCTGCAAATGACTGGAGCAGAGGCGGCAGTGCCAACCCAGCCATGCCCTGCCTCCCTACCCACCTCAGGATGAGGGGCATGAGCAGAGTCTGCCACGTTGTGGCCTGCACTTGGCCCTGCCTAGAGGGTCAGAGGGGAAGGAAATGAACACCCCATGTAGTACCAGGAGGTAAGACTGCCTGAAACTCTTACCCAGCTTTCACAAGGCTCCCCTCACCGGGCACTCCCTCTTTTGCTTCAAAGTGTAGCTTTAAACTGTCACCTTCTGTCGAGATCTAAAGGTCTGGGCCAGAAGGCAGGAGGCTATATTCTAGCTACAGGGCTGCCTTTGATTTGCTGTATGACCTTGGGCAGGTGATTGCCCCTCTCCAGAGGTTCATTTCCCTGGGAGGCAGAGTTGCCGTAGATGTTTTCAGGACCAATTGAAAACTGTGGCCAAGACCAGCCGGTGGCCAGGACCAAAGTTTTACGTGGATTCGGACTATAGAGCTGTCTTTCTCAGATTCTGTGCCAGAGGAATTGACTTTTTGACCTTGACCTTATTGGCTCCTTTATGTCTCGACAACGTATTTTTCCTCACGTTTCCCTCAGTATCGGGCAAATCTTGTTCAGAGGGACCGCAGGCAGCAGAGGTTTTCAGCATGACTGTGCCCCAGGAGGCTGGGGGAGGGACAGAGCAGAGGCGGCAGCAGGTCCTCTACATGCCCACTGGCTCAGCGAGATGGGCCGAAGGAGGAGGGGAGCCCCCTCTTCCACACAGACCTATGAGCCGAGAACCCCAGCAGCCAGTCACACACGCTCCCTGGGCACAAGACAGGACAGACCCAGACTGAGTAACCATCGGGGATGAGCGGGGAGGAAACGCGATGTGCCCCTCCTGCTCTGCCTGCTGCTGGAGTGAACCAGGCCAGATCAGGAAGCTTCTCTGTGCCTCCAGGACTCCAGAATGTTCCCCTCTACTTCCCCCAGTGCCCACTCAGTTCCCTCCCACCACGGCAGCACCTGGGGCCCCCCTCCGCCCAGCTCTGTCCTCCAGGATGCCCTTATGTCCACCCACTCTGTCACCTTGTCCCTGGCCTCCTCAATTTGGGGTCTCTCCAGAGAGCATCACTGGACACTGCTGCCATGACCGGCGAGCCCAGCTGTCTGCACCCGAGGGCAGGTGTGTCTGTGCGTGAGCACGCGCACACTTTGACATGCAATTTTTTTCTGGTACTGGGGATCAAACTCAGGACCTTGCACTTCAGAGGCAGGACTGGCACCACTGAGATAAATTCCCCCCTCCTTGATGTGCAAATTTTGCATAGGAGCAAAGTGCCTTGGATTGCATTGGTGCTGGGTTTGAGGAAGCCTGTAAGTGTGGTATGTTACGGAATGTTGTATATTTGTATGCACATTCTGTGGGGCTGTGTTTCTGTGGATCTAAATATATTGAAAAGTGAACATCGATGCATGGGGTCCTGCCTTTCACAGTCTTGTGTGGTGCTAAATTTGAGGAGTGCTGGATAGCATTTGCAGAATGCTACAGATGCCCAAGGGCAGTGTGTTGGACACTGGTGCCTCTTCTTTGTCAGGGGGGTTTCCTGCTGGCCCCTCCACCCTGGAGGGACAGCTGAGCCCTTGGCACACAGCCCATTTGAGATCAAGGGTCAGCAGCCACCTTGGTGATTGCAGCTGAGCCTGTGGACCTTTGCTACCTGAGCCAGGTAGTTGCAGCAAAGAGGAACCATCAGAGGCCGGTGAATCCTACAAGCCAGCTTTATGGGATACAAGGTTGTCCTGCAGCAAATAACACACAACTGCCATGAACTGCATGCTTAGAAGATGCTGGACTCTGTCCTAAGCACTTTGCAGACATAATTTAAATCACACAAGCAACCTACAGAGGGCCTCATTTTACAGATAAGAAAACAGTTTTGGAAATTAAATGCCCTGGGCTATAACACTGCAAGTCCCAAGACTGGGATCTGACCCCAGGTCTGTTTGACTCTGAATCTCATGCTTCTCTCCCCGCATTCTGATCTGTAGCTTGTGCTAGAAAAGTGGAGAACTGAACTCATCCTCCCCAAATCCTTCTTAGCAAACAGAGCCTTCATCTCACAAAAGTGCTTGCCTTTACCCACTTGATTTAAGGCTCAGAACTCCTCAGTGGGAGCAGTGAATAGAGTCAGCCATGGAAAATAACGGGGTCCTTGCTGAGAGGAGGCCTCCAGGAGCTGATGGATGAGGAGTTTGCACCTGGTGATCTTGTACCCTGCTGCTTGGTCCTGTGGCTTCCATGGGAGATGGCATGGTGGGCACATGGGGTTGAGGGTGCTGGGGTGGTGGCCAGGTCAAGATGGCATCAGCACCCTGGAGACACACAGCTGTTCTTGCCTGCACTGGGAGCTCTGCTTGTTCTTTTCTAGATCTAAGTTCCAGGGGAAATGCATTATTTTTTCATTAAAATTTCATTTTGGAATGGATAGCCTTCTGAAATGTAATTAGCCACGTTATTCTCTCCATTAGCAGTCCTTAGTGTTTGCTGAAATCTCTTGTCCTTTTTTCTCTCCATTTCACTTTTTCCATCCTCTTCACAAGCAGGGTTGCGGTGCTTCTCTGTCTCCCCACCCCCACCCTTGTCATCCCACACTCCATTTCCTGACTGACTACCTCAAAATCTGGACAGAAGGCAGAGACAACTCCCACTCTGCATAGAACTATAGGAGCCCAGATCCGGCACCACCGCTAATAGGACAGAGGAGTCCCAACACATAGACATATGATACAGATGGCTGACTGTGGCAGAGCTGGGAAGATTCTTGGCTCCCAAGTACCAGCTGGGCAATCCCAGGCAGGTAATGTAACCTCTCTAACCTTCTGTTGTCCCTATCAGCAATGTAAAGCATTTCACTTGTGGTATAGAGCATGTGTTCAACAAAGGCAGCTGTGGTTGGGATTTCCAGAGGCAAGAGGGGGCTTTGTGGGGGTCAAATGATCAGGGAATATGGGCAGGCAGCAGGAAGTGCAGCATCCTGGGCTAGGACGGGTGGCAGGGACAGCCACGGGGAGCAGGACTGGGTAGACTGGGTAGACTGGGGCAGAGCGCGCTCTCTGGGGCTCAGCCTCCACTGCCAAGGCCCAGGCCTCCCTTTTGACCAGAGCAGCTCCTCTAGGTCATTTCTGGCACCCACGACAACTGGCTAGAAGGGTGCTCCCCAGGCACTGGGAGGTGGTCTGTGAGCAGCAACAACTTGGGGGTTATCCGGGGAGGCTTGTTACCTCTTTTCTCGGTGGAGAGCAGACTCCATGCACACCACCACCCTCCCTCGTGCTCTCACACGCTTGTGACACATGATGTGCAGCTGCCTCCAGCACTGTCACAAGTACCCTGCTGTGGGGAGGAAAGGGCAGAAAGCCTGATTCCAAAAATCTAACTTGTCCTGGCTCCCCTTGAAGAGAGGCAAAGAAAAGGCAGAGACTTGGTATCAAAAGATCTTTGGCACTAGGCAGCGAGATGGAATCAGAGCGTGTGTGATTTCCACAGAGAGGTGAGAGCCCTAGACTTAGGCAGCCCTGGGCAGATGTCTTTGAAGGGGCTGACACCTGTTGGTGGGGACACAGTTGTATGGCATTTCAGAGCCGTGTCCTGTTGTGTTGACACGAAGGGAGCTGGAGTCAACTCAGTTTCCTGGGGACATCCAGGAAGCAGAAACTGGCAGGCTCGTGGGATCTTTGAGCTTGGGCATGGATATTACTACAAACTTTGCAGAAGCAGGTGGCATTTTGTCTAGAGTGGAGTGCACGACGGAGATTTTCATGGTGATGTTTATGGCTGAGTCCCAGGTGCTAATAATAACGGCCATGCCGGGGCTAACAGTGGTGCCCATGCTCTGGGTGCCTCTCTGCTCCTGGGCCATGATGGACCCTTTTCCCTGCACAGCTTCCTTCCCATTAGTGCCAGAAGCCGCTTTCTTCTCCGCGGTGACACAGAGCAGGGTGCTGGGACTCAGACAGAGGAAGAGATGGTGTCAAGGCAGTGATGAGTCTTCCCACCTCCAGGGAGGAGTCTCATTGTGTGGGGGACAGCAAATGGCATAACAATGCCTGCCGCCAGGAGCAGCAGTCTCGGTGTCAACCCACTCCATGGTTGGCGGGTGTCGCCAAGGAAGACACGACTCACGCAGACACTGGATGGAACAAGGCTGAACTCAGAAAAGAGGCAGAACAAGGTGGGCTTTGAGAGTGTGTATCCTTGCCCCGTCCATGGCTAGAGGCCTCAGCCTGCAGCCAACGCAAGGTGATAGTCTGCACCACCCCTCTCTGGTTGCAGGTAAAGGATCCCCTCTCCCCTCTCCTGTCACAGGCACAGCAGAGGACTTGGCTAGGTGCCAGGTGACACATATGCTTAAGCAGAACAAAGGCACACAAGCCGAGCCTGGAGCAGGGAACCATACTCCCACCTAGGGGACAAGCCCACTGGCTGAGGGCCCCTTGGCCCAGGCCACTCTGAAGTGGCTGAGCAGGGGGAAGGCTGCATGCAGAGACTAGGGTGGGGTCTGGATTTGAACCCAGGTCGCCTAGGCACTTTCTCACTCCATGAACACCCTCTGTGTCCCCAGGCACCTTTGTGGGCTCCCCTCCTTGCTCATCAGCAGAGCCCCCTTGGTGAGTGCACGTGAGGAAAGATGGGCTCCCTCCCAGGACTTGGCTAATGCAAACACCAAGAATGATCTCTTTAAACCTGGGAGCCCTGTGCCCTGAAGAATCTCTATACAGAAATTTAAAGCAGGAAGCTGTATTCCCACGAGAGCGGGAGAACTGCACAAATGAAGTCGTGCATGGGCCTCTAAAGTCCTTCAGCCATTATGTACAGAAATGGATGTGCTAAGGACCATTTAGCCCAAGAAAAAGACGACACGTATAAATCCCGCTCACAAATTTGGAAAAGAAGAGGGGACGAGGAGAGACCAAGTTGCTTTTTGCTTGGACACAGGGTTCTGCAATTCTGTTTTGCAGTTGAGGCCTCTGGAACCTGAGCTTACTGGCTAATTAGGAGAGAGTTATGACCTACAATTTGAACACGGGCAGCCAGAGGTCAGAGGGACTTCAGTAGGTGATCTACCTCTACCGCATCCACATTCATTTTAGATTTCTCCAGCTCCCCGCTTGGTCTTCCCAGGGAAACTTGCAGTTCCTTCCCCGTGTCTCCATCGCTAATGTGGAGGAACAGAGGCATCTGTCGCCCCTAAGGGTAACACCCCCACCGCATCTTCTGCCCCCGCATTTGCTTTGGGAACTTCCACAGACCTTTGAAAAAGGGCTTCGTGATGTGCAAAGCATCCTCCCTCCTTTCTAGTCCACCCTTCCCTACTCCACACTGCCCATCTCCTGCTCTGTAAAGACCCAGGGGCAGCAGGTGGCACCCAGAGGCACCTAGCACCACCTGCCTATATAGGTGGGTGGTGGAGGGGAAGCAGATTGAAAGGTGCTGGATATAAAAGCCCCGTGCCCAGTGCAGGACAGCAGAACTGTCCCAGTGCACAAGACAACAAATCGCATCCACCCAGGACCTCCACAGTGATGCTGATTCACTGCGTTAACGAGACATGAGCCAGAAGTTGACTGTACTCTGATTTCACGGCTGGGGAATCTGTGGCTCAGAATGGCGGGGGCATCTAAATTTGAGGTCACAGTCCAAATTCCACCTGGGCGCTCCTGATTCACATTTGATTCGTCTCATTGTTATCATCTGCTAATGACTAAGGATGCTTTCAAGCCAGTTGGATCCTGAGTAACAATTCAAGCAATGCCTAAGGTGGAGAATGGTGACGCTGGACCCCAGAGGAGCCAGCTTCCTGGATCCACTCAGCTAACATGGCTGCAGGGCACGGTGGTACAGTGTGTAATCCCGGCACTTAGGAGGCCAAGGCAGGAGGATCGCCATGAATTTGAGGCCAGCCTACACTACATATCGAGGCCCTGTGTTCAAAAAACAAGACAGACAGCAGCAGGACTGGCATTGGAAGGGGAATGCACAGGAACTTAGGGTAAGAGGGGAAATGGGACATGGAGAAATCTTCATAACTCATAGTGGGAAGTGAGATGCCCTTCCGGAGAGCATCACTTATTCTCATTCCGTGAAATCATTCATTCAGTTGGTACCCAGACCAACAGTTTTTAAGTTAGCCAAGACTTGGGCACTGTCTTAAGTGCTTTGGACATGGAGATAAATGAAACAAAGTTAGTCTCTACCTCCAGAAACTACCCTCCAAATACTAAATCTGAGGCACTTTGGGAAATTCATAAATGTGAATCTATTCCCAACCCTCCCCCAGCAGAATGATATTGTCTTCGAAAGTAGCCCCCAAACATCAGGAGCCCAGCTTCTATTCCTTCTCCAGGTTGAAGTCCTTCGGTATTGGTCTGGTGAAATGGGAAACTGAGGGAGTCCAAGGAAGATTCGGAGTCAAGGAGAAAGGCCTCACACCCGCCCCCACCAGGCAACCCACCCGGATCCCCACGTGGTCCGAATCCAGGCCCCACTGCAGATCCCAACATACACAGACATTTTCCTGGCTGGCCAGTGCGTTCCGTCCCTTGGCCCCCGTCTCTCTCCTCCGAACGTGACTCCATGTTCCAAGGTCATTGTGATGCAGATTCCAGGGCCCTTGTGACACGCAGCTGCCCACCCTGCTCAAGCCCGAGACGTCCATCTGGAGAGGCCTGTTCCCTCTGGGGAATGCAAGTCCTCTCCTGAAGGCAGCTCACCTCCCCCTGCTCATTTCACCTCCAAGCAAGTTCCGAGTTCCGGTCAGGGGCTGCCGTGAAGATAGCCCACGAGGGCCATGACCACCCTCTCTCCTGAGAACAGCCTCTCGGCCAGGCAGTCTGCCTCCTTCATCCTGGTGCGTGCCTGTCACTAGCCCCCAGTCCTCCCACCCCAGCCTCTGGGTGGCCGGCAGCCCTCTTCCTCTCCTGGGTGGGACCCCAAGCCGACCAGCTGGGCCTGTTGCTCCTTGGCCTTTCCGTCAGTACCAACAACAGCACGGACACAGCCGTGTGCCCTCTCACCCCGAGCCAGTGCTTTCTCCCCAGATGTATCATTCTGACTTTACTGAGTTTCAGATCTGCAAATCTGCAAGTTCACTCCTGAATTCAGACACTAAGTAAATTTTGTTTGGGGCTTTTGCTAACAATTTTGGTATGCTGCCACTAGGTGGCAGTAAGGCTTTTGTTAGAAAGAGGTTCCAAACCCAGTTAATAAAATGCCATCTATTCCTTAGAAATTGGCCTCAGTCCTAAAAATTTTCCACAGTATTGCTCAAAATCATAATTACTAATTATAATGACCTTAACCAATCTCAAGTCTCATTAATCATGGGGATTAACAGAGTGATACATAAAAACATGCAAAATGGGCATCTCTTTCCCTGAGTTTTAAATGTTGCTGCTTTATTGTAGATGATCACCAGGTCTTAATTTGAAAATTCTATATCTTCCTTCCATTCTCTGGACTCCACGAAGGCTGATAGTAATAAAATAAGCTGTCACCCAGAATTTACTGTGCACAATGACTGTGCTGAATGCTTTATTTATAGTCATCCATTCTCACTGCAACCTGGGAGGTTCATGATGCTGTTGTCCTTGTTATAAATAAGAAAATTGAAGCACAGAGACTTCATAATCTGGTGATAGTCACAGAGCTAGCGAGTGGAGACCCAGACAGTGGGCTGGGAAGCCGGGCAATTCTGCAGATAAGGAAGTAGTCACTGATGGTCACAGTAGGGTAGACCAAGGTCAAATTTCTTTCTATTCTTTTCTCCCAGTGCTGAGAAGTGAACCCAGGGCCTTGCTCATGCTAACTAAGCATTCTGCTACTGAGCCACATCCCCAGCCCTTTATATTTCTTAGTACCTCCTTGGCCCTCTTTGGAAGATAGAGCATCTACAAATTATTCAAGAATGTCTTTCTCAGACTAGCCCCTCCAAACATGTAGCCAGTGGGATTATCCCCATCTGTGCCTGCAGGCTCTTATCACTACTTCCCAGGGCTGTATTTCCTGTGGACACCCTGTCCCTTCATGTGCCAGGGACTGGCAGCATCCTCAGTCCCCTTGGAACTTGCTAGGAATCATTGTTCTAGGCTGCAACCCCAACTGTCAGAATTAGAATCTGCAAGTTAAGAAGACCCTCAAATGATTCACATACAGACTCCATTTTGAGTCACACCTGTCCATGTTCAGGAATTATGGGAGGTCAGGAGTAGGTTTATCGGGTATCTGCCCCCATAAGCACCTCTCTGTCTGCAAGGTGGATTTCAATGCACATTGAAATGTGCAACATGGAGGAGACACCCTAGGAAGACCAGCATCTTTCCCTAGTCTGACAGGATCCCTTACATCTAATTATTTTGTAAACATTTAATTGCTTTGTATATGATGCACTTACTTCCCCCCAACACATCACTCTCTCATACAACACACACACACACACACACACACACACACACACACACGCCTTATCTAAACCAGAATCCATTCTGCATGGTGAACTGTTTTACATTTCCAGGCAAGATAAACTGAACCTAGGAGTGTGTTTCATTAGTGCTTATCTTGTATCCTCTTCTGCTATCAAAGCAGCATATGTGATATAAAAAAAAACTTAGAAAATACAAGAAAACAGGAAGATTACTCATACTCCTGTTAGTCAAAGATAATCATGGCTGTGTTTAGAGAAGGATTTTTTCCTAGCCTTTTTTCTAAAATTTCAGAGAGGTCAACACCCAGTATATTAGAGTTATATGGTGCAGTTTTTATAATAATGTAACAGATATAGTACATACATAGGTAGTACTCTAAGTACTATGGTATGTATAGAGTATAATCAAGAGTACTCTAAAGGCAGTGGTATTGCTGATAGTAGACAAGTAGTACTATAAATGCTATTGTAGTACTACAGAGTATAGGACACAGAATACTGAATATCTAATTTTGTATTCTGCTTTCTTTCTGCTACAATTTGTATTTTTCCAGAGTATTCATCCTTTGTAAATATCTATATGTCTCACAATGTTCTATTGTGCATCTACAGAGTTTACTTAACTATTCCTTTATTGCAGAACAGTAATGTGCTATGAAAATTATTGTGCATTCAGGGTTTTGTTCTACTTCTTTTCAATAATTTCCTTGTGAGTCAGAAGCTGTAAGTTTTGATTCCCATTGCAGAGTCCAAAGGCTATCATTTTAAAAATTGCTTTCAACTGAAAGACAAACCAAAGGCTCCTTTGTCCTTGTCAGGCGAAAAGAAAACCACCCATTGACAAGACAGAATGGAATAGCTTCTTTGACGAGAATGGTTACTTGGCCAAGTCCCGGGACTTCATTTGTGTTAACATCCTAGAGAGGGTATGGTCTGCAAGCTCCCCTGAGCCTTCCCTGCTACTAGGGGCACAAGGGAGGCAAGGGGTTCACCCCCACTCCTGCCTCCTGCCCCCAGGGCTTGCATCCTGGAGTGAGGACGGAAGCCTGGAAGTTCCTCACTGGCTACTACTCATGGCAGAGTTCCCAGGACGAGCGGCTCATGGCGGACAGCATGAGGAGGTAGAAAGTTCCCCATCTTCCACAGCACAGAGTGGTGGAGCTGCAGGTGACGGGAAGGTGGTGCCTGCCCCAGCCTGCGCTGAGCAGCCCACCAGTTCCATCCCTCTTAGCCCCAGCCCTGCATTCCACCCTCCCTAGAGCTTGTGCATTCAGTCTTGAAGCTGCACAGAGCCGCCTTCCCCTGGGCCTCAGACTGGCCCCACCCATGGCTGAGCTGCCTCCCAGATCAAGGCTCTGCATGTACCTGCATCCCCAAGCCCAGAATCAAACATCCCAGTACCTGACTGGTAGTGTTACAAAACCACATCCCCCCACCCCCACCCCCGTACCTCGCATTCCCATCATACCAGCCACCTGGCTGACACAAGCGCCCACTTCCCAACACTGCCACACACAGGCCATATCTGTACTCCTCTCTGCTCTCGGTTCACTCTTTCCCCTCCCCCCATCATCAGCCTATCAAACTCCATATTTGGGCAGACATGGTGGCACAAACCTGTAATCCTAGGCATCTGGGAGGCTGAGGCAGGAGGATTACAAGTTCTAGCCTAGACTGGGCAACTTAGTAAGATCCTATCCCCCAAATAAAAAGGGGGTAGGTGCTGGGGATGTAGCTCAGTTCAAAGGCCTGGAGTTCAATCCCCAGTGGCAAAACAAAACAAAACGAAAAACCCCACCACCCTTCCTTCAAGGCCTAGATGAGACAGGGCACTTCCTCTAAATAGCCCTTTCTGATCTTCCAAGGGAGCCAGGAGGAAGCATTTAGGTTCTGTAGGTAACACACAGCCTGCAAATTGGAAAGCTTTGACTGTGGAAGCTGGGTTCAAACCCCAGCACTGAAATGTACACACTGGGTGGCCTTCCCTGTAAAATGGGGCGATGATACATCTCATGGAGTGGTTCCAAGATCCAAGCTAGAGAACATGGGTCAGTAGCCCTGCACAGGGGAAGAAAGCTGGCTTTTATAGTTCTGGGGGTCAGAAGCCCAAAACAAGGTGTGGGCTTCCTCCAAGGGCTGTGGGAGAGAATCCTTCCTATCTGCAGCACCAGATGTCCCCTGGCTGGTGGCTGCATCCCTCTCATCCCTCCCTGCATAGTCACTTGAACTCTTCCCTGTGTCTTATAAGGACACTTGTCATTGGATTTAGGGTCCTGGAGAATCCATAGTAGCCTCCTCTGGAGATATTTATGTTAATCACATTTGCCAAGACTCTTGTTCCAAGAAAGGCCACACTCAGGTTCTGGTGCAGGAGTGTTCACCTACCTATGCTCCAACCTACCACATGACATCCAGGAACTCTGTGACAAGGACCCACTGGCCACCAGTCAGCCCTACACACCAGCTACTGATGAGGACACCCAACACCATCTCATCTGATCCTTCCATCCTGAGGCACAGGGGCCAGGACTAGCCCCACTCTGCAGACAGGAAACAGGCTCAGAGAGGGAAGGTGATAGCCCCAAGGTCTGGCCCCAGCTGCAGTGCCAGGACTCACATGCTGTGACTGCACTGCAGAACCTGGGAGGTGCCAGGACCATAGTAGAAAGTACTTAGGCCTGGTATGAGCTGACACCAGAGAAATCATCACAGGCCGGGGCAAAGTGGGCAGCTGCTGCTGCTACATGGAGTTCCCCCACCCCAGTGGTGTCATCCTGGCAGGAAAAACTATGAGGCCTTGTGCCAAATGTATGAGAAAATTCAGCCCCTTCTGGAGAACTTGCACTGGAACTTCGCTGAGATTCAGAACAACATTGGTGAGTGGAGTGGGTAGAAGGCTGGACAGAGGGGACAATCAGAGCCAGCCTGCCTCCTCCTCAGCCACTTCTGGGGATAGAAGAATTTTCCCAGACACTTCTTGGTTAATCCACCTTCCCGAGTCTGCACATGTCCCGAGGTGTCCAGCACCATTTCCCTGCCATGCACTGTTCCTGCTACACTGTTCTTCCTCTCCTCCTTCCCTGGCCTTGAACCAGGCCGGATTTGAATTGGATGCTGGGGGCTGTTCCTGGCAGAGCTCATGGCCTGGCCAAAGGTCTGGAGGTGGAGAAAAGCAGCAGCCAGGGTGTCACACAGAGCTGAGCTCTTTCCCCGGGATGTCCCAGGGCCTGACTTACTGGGTGGGTGGGGGATTAACTTACCCATGAACCCCCTGCTGGAAGTAGCCTGTGCCACTTACCCATCCCCAACCTAGCATGTGACATCCAGAAGCTTTATGACAAAGACCCACTGGGAAACGTCCTAGTGGACAAGAGGAGGCTGGAGAAGACCCTGCTGTTGAGCTACGTATGTAACACCCAGGCAGGTGAGTGGAAGAGGGCTCCACCCAGCGGCTACCAGGTGCCCGGGGCCCTCCTCACAGTGCCCTCTCCACAGAGTACCAGCAGGGCTTCCACGAGATGGTGATGCTCTTCCAGCTCATGGCGGAGCACGACCACGAGATCTTCTGGCTCTTCCAGTTCTTCCTGCAGAAAACAGTGAGGGCTGGGGGCGGGGGAGCTCCGGGCCCTCCCTGTAACAGGCATGCCCGTGTCATCCACCTCTCGAGCCCCCAAACACCCTTGGGAGGTGCAGAGCAGCCTGGGGGTGGGTGTGTTCAAGAACCCGGCACTGGAACGGAGGCCTTGGAAAGTGAATGGTGTGGCAGGCCCGAGAATGGCGCCCTCTGCTGGCTTCGCCCTCCCAAAACACTCTCCCTCCCTGTCAATACTCAGCCTCCAGAAGAAAACCCAGCAGCCTTAGCTAGGCTTTCAAGGCCTCTTCTTTGGTCTTGCTTCTCAGTGTTTCCTCCACGTGGCTTGAGGCGACTCAGTTGTGCCCAGTGCACCCCCCTGCTCTAACCAGGTTGAGGGGCTTTGAAAGCACTGCTCCTGGAGTACCCCACTCCCTGGGAAGCCTTTCCTGAGTACCTGGGAGAGGCTGCCCAGTCCCCCACCTCTTCCCTGTATTCCCTGCCCCTCCCCTGACCTTACCCGGCCCTTCTCCCTCGCTCCCCTACTCTCCTTCACCCCTGCAGTGAAGTGCTGTCCTTGTCCCCACTGGCTCCGATGTAGTATTATATTGGGTGTGTCAAGTGGCCACTTTTGAGACATGTGTGTCCCCACCACACCCTCCTGCACACACAGACACACATGCTGTCACCCAGAGGTGCGCACATATGCTGATAGGCACACCTGCATACACAGACCACACAGATATGGTCAGGTGTGTGCTTGCCTATGCACACACACACACCGGGACACTGCACACAAGCCCTTCCAGAGTTGGAGCAGAGGAGGGCAGAGCTGCAGAGGCAATTCAGTTTCCCTCCCTGGTCCCGCCCTGTGCAGGAGAACAGCTGTGTCATCACCATCGGGGTGGCCAAGAACCTGGACATGCTCAGCCGCCTCATCAGCCTCCTGGACCCCCCATTTTCTGAGCACCTGAGTGTGTGGGACCCACCTGGGCAGGGATGGGAGGGGGCAGCCACCCTCAGTCACAGGAAAAAGGGCAGCTCCAGGGACCTGTCTAGGCCCTGGGAGGAGAGGGATGGGATCTGCACCGGTGAACATGGCCGTCTCCAGGGTCGGTTGGCACAATCAGAACCAGGGTTGCCAGGCTTCCCAAAGGTCCCACGTGCTGTGTGTGTGTTGGCTTTGTTCGGTGTGTGGTCCACCGAGTCCCCTCACCATGACCTCTGGGGGAACCTGCTTCTCTCCCCACAGAAGGGAAGGGTGCAGGGGCAGTGCAGGCTCTCTTCCCTTGGTTCTGCCTCTGCTTCCAGCATGCCTTCAAATCCTTCGATGATGTCTGGCGCCTCTGGGAGGTGAGCACTTGGATAGATCCCCACCCCAAGTGGCCAGTTTCCCTTGTCTTCCCACCATTCCGGGCCCTGGATGTAGTTCAGTAGTTCAGTAGTGGCTCAATGTTTTCATGGCCTGGCAACCCTGCTCCTATCCATCTGTTCATCCCTCACAGCGCCTTTGCAGCTTGCGCCCTGCCCCCACTCTCACTCGGCTTTCCCTGCCTCCGTGGTGCTGGCTGCACTCGGAGCGCCCTGCCCCCCGTCTCCTGTCCCCCAAGGACACCCATAGTCCTCTGCCCACAGCCCTGGGCTATCAGCAGGTGCACTTCCTCAGGAACAGCTCGCCACCATCGCTGCCCATAGGATCCAGCCCAACCGTTGGCTTGTCATTCAGTGCCCTGCAAGTCAACGTCCGCCTGGCTCACACCCCTCCCTGGCCTTCCTGTCTCCCTGCCCAAGTCCCTGACATCTCCGACCCTTGGGGGACACCCCTGGACTTTTGAGCTCCCATCCTGGTCTCGCATGAACCCCCATCCTCTCCACCATAAATTCTTAGAGGCCTTCATCTCTGAATCCTCCTGTAACTACAGCAATGCCTAGGAGCCCAGGGTGGGTGAATGGATGAGCAGCGAGGCCCGAGAGAGGCTGGCCATGGGCACTGGTGGGTGGGTGGATGCCTCACTGTCTCAAGGGCTCTGCAGTCCAGGTCCGCATCCTTACACTCCTCAGGTCCTGCTGACTGGGAAGCCCTGCCGGAACCTGCAGGTGCTGGTGGCCTATAGCATGCTGCAGATGGTGCGTGAGCAGGCGCTGCTAGAGGGCATGAGCGGCGACACCATCCTCCTGGTGAGCCACCCTCAGCCACCCTCCACCCACTTCCAGAGGCCTGACACCCCACCCATCCCAGTGGAAGGGCCCAGGCTGCTGGGGTGCTGCCCCCCCCAGCCTCCGGGTGGGAAGAGCTCAGTACCAGCTCTCTGCTGTGGGCTTTTCATGTGGAAGCTCATCTGCACACCCTGACCAGCCCAACACAGAGGCTAACATCAGTGTCGGAACAGAGGCCTTGAGCAGTTCAACCACTGTGCTCTTCTGCCTCACAGGCAGCCCTTGGCCCGGGGAAGCTCTTGCGGTGAAAGGACCTAGTTGCCCAACATTTTTAAGAAGAGTCAATTTTTAACTGATAATGTGGAATAGGAAGAAAAGGGCTAAAGAGAAGGGGAAGTGGGAAGGGTAGGGAAAGGAAAGAAGGGAAAAGAAAAAATGAGAAAGTGTTGCCCAACATTTTTAAGAAGAGTCAATTTTTAACTGATAATGTGGAATAGGAAGAAAAGGGCTAAAGAGAAGGGGAAGTGGGAAGGGTAGGGAAAGGAAAGAAGAGAAAAGAAAAAATGAGAAAGGGAAAAAATGGAAACAAAGTCTTTGTAAATAGGGAAGGGTGGAGGGGGTGAAGGGAGGGCAGGGGAATGGGGAAAAAATAAGAACCAAGATACATCATGTAAAGGTACAAGATCCCAATGATGAATGTCACTGTACACTGTATACCTAAAAAGTACCAAGAAACTTAATGGAAGAAAAGTTAAGATCTTGGTTTGAAAACAACTTTAGCTGCACCCCTATTATAGTCAAGTCCTCCTTGGAAGCACTCCCTATACATAGGGGAGCCCCATGATTCCCTAGAGCCAGTGTGGAAGCTGTGCTTACCACCACCCCAAAATGTACAAGGTCAGCACTGTGCCAGGCAGGTTGGGGACACACGCACGCACGCGTGCGTATACAAACATACACCTCCCACATAGGCCTGCAACAACCTCATTGATCTTGATGCAGATGAACTGATCTCCACTGCCTGCATGGTTTATGCTGAGCTCATCCAAAAGGATGTAAGTTCCCTCGTGCTTTCTTCTCCAAGCAGCCTTCCCTCATCACCCACGGCAGGCAGAGTCAGCTTCTGAGACACAGTCGGTGCCGCCAACCCATAGGAGTTTCTCTGCACCGTCTTCTGCTGCTTCCATGTGGAACCCAGGCTTCCTGGGCAGGCTGTGCTCCTGGAGATCATGGTCCTTGCCCCTTATTCCCTGTGCCCATCCCAGAGGCCTGGGGACCCAGAGGCTCAGGAAAGTTCACACTGGCTGGGCCAAAAGGAGGAAAGCAGTGGACCACGTCCACTTGCCTCACATCTGGGGACCCTCCTCTTCTTCAGGTTCCCCAGCCATTGAAAGATTTCTTTCTCTGAAGACACCAATGCCCATGATGAACAGATGCCCTGCACAGACAGGGTGACCTTGAATGACAAGGTCATGAGCAAGTAGAATGGAGTGAGGACGAGGGTGCTGGTAATACAGCCACCCTACACACAGCCTGTGGAGTGATGGTGTCTCTCTCTCTCTCTCTCTCTCTCTCTCTCTTTTTGGTACCGGGGATTGAACTCGGGTCCTTGCGCTTGCAAGGCAGGCCACTGAACTGCTGAGCTAAATCCCCGGCCCCGGTTTAATCTCTCTTTTGACCTGGAGGTGTAGGAGGGCTGAGAGGGGCCTGTTGGCGAGTTGCCCACTGTGCACCCAGAGAGGGCACAGGATGAGCAAGTCTCTTGATGGAGCATTTTCCAAAGCAGCAGTATGGGAGATCTGAGTGAATCCTAAGGGTAGCACTGACCTTGAGATCCCTCCTGCTACACCTAGAAGACAATACTAAACGCATCTCAGAAGGATTAGTCTACACTAGGACTCTAGTCGGTAGAGAAGGCTCCCCCAGGCCTTGCCTGCCCTGATTCTCAATCATACAACTAAGTCCTTTTCAGGCCAGGGATTTAGCTCAGTGGTTCTGCTGCCCGCCTTGCAAGCACAATGACCCAAGTTCAATCCCCCATATTAAGAAAAAAAAACCCACAAATCTTAGAATTTCCACAAGTAAATCCTTTTGCTGCTCTCTGTGGAAGGACCAGCCCAGTCTCTGACCAGTAGGCAGGTCCCTCATAATTTCACCTTCATGCCTCAGCCTGCAAGGGTCTCCTGAAGGGTCTGCCTGTGCTTTTCAGCCTCACCCTCCTTTCTCCCAGGAATGTTGTGGGCTCTTGCCCAGGCAGTGAGCTCCATGCCCATCCTGCCCGTGTTTGGGGAGCCCAAGACATGAGCATTGGCCAGCAGCATTTTGGCTGGCTGGGTCTGTCTGTCTGTCTCTCTCTCTCACACACACACAGCCCTGCCCATTGGCTACACCTTTTCAGGAGGACAGATGGCTGGGAAGAAGTCTTGGGCCTTGTGATAATCTCCCATCCATGGTGGCCTCTGAGTCTCTCTGTTGCTGTCTTTGCTGGGCAAGGGTGCCGAAGGACGTGGGCCTGTCCCATCATATTGCTCAGGCCTCAGGAGATCATGTACCCGGGCAGCAAGGCACATGGGTAAATTCACATGCTTCATTCTCCTGAGTTTTTTGTTCCTGGCATTTGACTTAAATAAGGGTTCCTGAATGAATGGGTCTCCAAGAACCAGGGTAGCAGAATGAATAAAGAGGTATCTTCCTGAGCTAACTTTGGCCTTGGGAAGAGAACAGTCAATAAAAACATCAGATGTGCATTTTCTATGGGTCTTTTGGCTTGGTGGTATTGGTTGGCCTATAAATTTGGGGTCACACACAATACCAGGCATCTATAGTGGTGCCTTGGTGCTCTCACTAATTGGTCCAGGAGTTGTGACAAGTACAGTCAACGATGAGTGCCAGCTTTAGCCGAAAAGGGGAGGAACGTATGCAGGAGGATGTACCCAACTCTTCTGACCTTCTGTAAGCCCATTCCCTCCCCAGGAAGCTTGGGGAAGGACCAAGCACAGCCATACTCATTGGGTATGGCTTAAGAGGCACAAGAAGTTTATCAGGCAGAAATTAGAGTACACCCATAGAGTATGGGCTCTCGAGAGAGGTACATTATTTTCTGGAGCTGAGGATATTTATGTTTTTCTAGAGCGGGGAAGTCTGTGAAATTTGTGGGCCTCTAAGAAGTTCCCTCTTGGTTTACAGGAGGAAAGGATGGATGCCCATAGAAAGACAATGGCCCATTTCACAGATGAAATGCATGGGCTGCCCCTGTTGGGTTTTTGTTGTTGTTGTTGTTGTTTTTGATGGGACATCTAAGATGTTTTGTTTAAAAACATTCTTTGAACTCTCAATCTGTTCCTTTAAGATAAGGCTCCTCCTCTTTATCAACTAAACGGATTTATGAACCAATAGCATCTTGAAAGGATTTGGGGTATAATGGTCATGGAAGAAAAGAACTATACACAAATCTAGAGACCATTGATACAGATAATCCTAGGTTACTTAGACTGTGTCCTAAAGTTGCAGTCTTTTCAAAAGTACAATATTTAAATTATAATTTTCCTTTTCTCCTTTCTACCTATTTCTTCTATCCTAACTCATTCCCCCCGCCTTAGAATTTTTCCATTTTTCTTTTATTGAGTTTATTGGTACATTTTAGGTATACAGTACAATTACATTCATCATTGGGATCTTGTACCTTTACATGACAGGTCTTGGTTCTCATTTTTTCCCCTTGTCCCTGCCCTCCCTTCACCCCCTCTCTCCCCTCCCCATTTACAGACATTTTATTTCCATTTTTTCATTTTTCTTTTCCCTTACTGTCTTTCCCCTACCCTTCCCATTTTCCCTACACCTTTAGCCCTCTTCTTCCGGTAGCACATGGTCAATTATCTCAGTAGGATCTTACGTACTATTATAGCTTTTCACATGAGAGAAACTATTCGGTGTAAAGGGCTGAAGGTCTGTTTTATGGGGTTTTTTTCCCACAATTTAAATCTTTTTTTAGAGTCCACAGTCTGCTAAATAAAAGTAGTAACAAGATATTTCACAAACTATTATACAATTTAAGACTCATTAATTTAATTTCATAAAAAATTAGGTGCATGTTCATTCTATTCTAAAAATGTTTTTTAATGATCTGAATCCATTAATCTATAACAGACTCGGTTCCAACATGAAAATAATCCTAGCAGCTTTTTAAAAAACATGTTTTACAACAAAAAGTTTGTACTCTTAGAGATCCACAGATAACAACATGTGAAAAATAATTTTGCAAAACACCCAAGGTGACACTTTCAGATCTGCTTTTATTCTTTTTTCTTCTTCACATACAGAGTTTCTCCACCCACATTCTCTCAGCCATAGTCACCTCACGTTGGCCAGGTACCATTTTGCCCCTAAAACTTTGTTGGCATCAAAATATGAGTTAACCAGTGTTAAGGTCCATAAAATATCTTCACTACACAGCACATTAAGCTTTAGACACTTGGCAATTAAACCACATTACAAAAAGAGGACAAGACCCCCACCCATGCAACCACCCAGGATCCATGTTCACTGGTCCCTATCCGGCTACCAGACACTGGTTCAAAGGGCAGCAGAGGCAGCAGGCAGCCACTTTGGAGGACACTGAACACTGAGTTGGAAGGCACCATGCCCAGGTCAGGCAGCGCTACCTTTTTCCTAGGTGGTCCTAGCATTCTAGAATGGCAGGTCCAGCAGACACAAAATGAAGACAGACGACACAACATTGACCCTTCAGAGACACCCTACTCAGACTATGTGCATGCTGTGATTTTAAAGGCAACTCTTCTCAAAAACTTGTCATAATCGTCCTCATTTCTTAGGTTCCTTGATCCCTCAATTTTGCACTCTACTGTGGTCCTCAAAGGAGACGTGGACAGCCACCAATGGCTGGAGATAGCCAACATGGGGTTTCTTTCCATAACAAGGAAAATACTTTTAGTATTCCATGATTAGGATAAATTGATACAAGTGCTGTGTTTTCATCCTTAGAAATACAGTCTTATCCTTGGTGATCCTTCAGGCTTTAATCCAGTTATTCTATGCATTTTCACAAGAATTCAAGAATGTCCTTGGGAATGGCCAAAAGCAGGGTCATTTCTATCACTGCATGCTTGAAGTAAGAAATCAGGAAACTGACATGAAACATAATCTGGACACTTCTGTTCTTCAAAAAGTGCTCCATTGGTACAGCCGACAAGATTCTCCTGTTCTTCTAAAGAACATGACTTTAGAAACTTAAGGTCTTTAATGTACCCTTCATAGGAACTTAGACATACTAAATGTATTCTCCAACACAGCACTGGTTTTGGAAAAACTGTAAGTCCTGGACTAGGAATCTGGTCATATTTTGGAACCTCATCATTCAGAGTCTGAAGCACAGTCCACATTATGAACAATTAGAGTGCAGCCAGGAACCCATAAAAAACCAGGTAGAAGAGCAAGATCAAACTTCTACGTAACTACTTCCTAGACCATCCAGGAAGCCCTGTCTTGCTCCTGCTGGTCTGCGCTGCCACACCCACCACTGGCTTGCATTTCCTGCACGACCTTCTCCCCTATAGTTAAGACCCTCAAGATGGGATAATCAGATCTCCAGAGCAGAGCATTTACTGAGTCATGCCCCAGAATAGGAGCAGGCCACTGAAAATATAGCACTTCATAGACCGAGCCCTTGGCGGCGCGCCCCAGGAGCTCTCGGGTGGTCGGGTTGTACAGGAACAGCTTCCACTCGGCCAGGCCCAGGCTCTGGTTGAAAGACTTCTCGCTCTTCGTTATGGTGGGCTGGAATGCGGGCGGGGGGGGCGACGAGGGGCAGGGAGGAGCGTCCAGGCAGTAGCGGCGATGGCGACAGAGGGCTGCATGGCCCGAGGACCCCTCCTCCTCACCAGGGACACTGGAACCCACCGACCGAGCCACGCAGAGTTGGCTCCCGCGGCTTGGGCCACCCTGCCTGACGTGTCTCCACCCGCTGCAGCCAATCCAGCTCTGCGACCCGCCCCGTCGCCGAAAGTCTGTTTTCTTACGGCTGGCTTCAGCCCTGGTTGGGAGGCACTGACCTTGCCTAACGAGGCATCAGAACTCTCGCTCTGAGATACAGGAAGATGGATTTGTCGTTTAATGAGGCATCATCTTTCCCGATACCTCTTCACCTCCTGGAGCTGGCTTACCACGGGGAATGTCACCACACAGAGTCCAGGGTGGTTTCCCGAAGTGGAGCTGGGGAACTTAACTCATCATGAGGGAGGGTATAGGTTCACTGAATTCCATCCCAGAGAACTTTCAGGATTCATCAGTAAGAGGCTAAAAAGGTAGAAAAGGTAGAATGAAGCAGAAATTAGGGTACACACTCAAATAGAGTGCAGGCCCTCGAGAGGGGCACCCACTGCATATTTTCATAAAACCAACACCAGACGGCTGTGGACAATGGCTACATTCCTTCTCCAGGATGAGAACCGGGCTGGAGCACCAGGGTTACAAGGGAATGGGAGGATCCAAGACAGGGCTGTCCTGTCACATGTTGACCATCAGCCACCTCACCCAAGAGGCGAAGAATGATCCCCGAGACTCAAGACAGCAGCACTAGGTTTATTTGTTCTGCCTGACACTGGGGCCAGGTGAGCTGTGGTGGGAGGAGTTCCAAGCAGTAGCTTTCAGTCTGCAGGTGAGAAGCCTCAGAAGCACTTTTTAAAAATAACTGATGCTTTCTGATTAAACCAGAATAGCCAGGGGTGGGACCAGGGTGCTGATATTTTTAAAAAACTCCCCAGGTAATTACCAAGTGCAGTCAGGGATGAGAACCTGTGAGTAAGCACAGGATCCTGATGGAGGGGAGTAGTGATCTGCTGGGACTGACCCCTTCCTTCCAGACAGGAGTCCCAAGCCTGCTGGGGACAGGGAGGGACTGGCTCCAGGTCTCCCAGCAAGTGGATTTTGGCTGAGAGGGCAGGAGTGGCCATGCAGGGTGCTGTCCTGAAGTGACATGGAGGGAAAAAGTGCTGTCATCAGTGCTCCTCCCTAAGCCACCCCAAAGCTCCTGCTGCCCTCCCTATGGACTCTGAACTGGGCCTTCCCACCTCCCTACCTCAGAGCCCTTCCATTGAATGACTCTGCAATTAAGCATTCCAAGCTTTCTGAACCAGCACAAAAGAGGATCTCTTGGGGGAATTAATAAGCGCCCGAGTCTCAAAGGCCTGACCCTCACCTGCAGAGATATGCAAATGGTACCTGGACACCCACAGCGCAGCATTCAGAGGCTGTGAGCAAGTGTATGCAAATATATGCATCATTATGCAAATAAGGGCAGCCCCGTATTAACGGCCTCCATCCTTCAACCAGGCAGCAGCTGTCTCTTTAGGTATAAGCATGGCTGACAAGGAGGGTTGAATCAATTCCTGTCAGAAACATCCTGAGGAAGGGTCGCCTTGCAGGTTAAGAAGAATTGTTCGGATACCTGGCTTGCTGATACTCTGA